CGAGGCGCACGATGCTCAGCGCACGGATCTGCGGCGAGGTGCGCGCGTGGTGGATCATTTTCACCACGCCGGCGGGGCGCTCCCGGCGCGTCCGGGGCTCACCCCGTCTCGCTCGAGCATCGGATTCAGCGAGGTGGAGAGCATCGCCTGCGCAGGGCGAGTCGCGGCTGGTCAGCTCGGCGGCAGCGCTGACGCGCGCGCGGCTTCCGGTGGCTGCGCAAACGGTGGGGAGCGCGGGCGGTTCGGATGAGGCTTGGAGTGGCGGGGCGCCGCCGCGCGCCACCGCGCGCCGCGCCCGCAGGGTGGCGCGCCTGCATGTAGTGGCGGCCGTCCGAGATGACGAGACGGTGGCGGTCCGCCGCGCCGCCCTGCGGATTCTTGATCGGCTTGATGTCGATGATCTGCACGCGGTAGGGGTTAGCCCCGGCCTGGCCGGCGGTTTGCCCGCTGTGCATGAGCTCGATGCAGCCCTCGTCGAGCATGAATGTGGGCGGTACTTTATCTCTGTTGACAAGACTGGACGCCGCCGCGACCGGGCGCCAAAGAGGGCAAAGGAAAAGAAACAACAACGAGCTTGGTCAGATGCGTCTGAATTCGGACGCCTGTGCTACCCTTCACACACGCTACACACGGTGTACTAGCACGGCGCATCCTGCGCCGTGCCCCATGAGTGTCGATACTCCAGCATCACACCCTCTGTGCCACAATCGATCGTGTCACGTGGACGTCCCTTGGACAGCGCGACCGGAGAACCAGTGTTTTGATATCTTCGGTCCCCAAGCCCCGCGCATAGGACAACAACGTCTGTCCCACACACACACAGACGCGCACATACATCATGCTCGGGCACACCCCACAGGCCACAGTGTAGTGGTGTGAGTACACAAGTACTAGCAGAGTGCACACCTGCCTTGGCGGGTGAGGGTCGTCAGAATCAAAGCCTCTTGGTGCCAAACGTGCTCGAGCGCGCCGAAGAGAGACGATCTACGCTGAGGGAGTTAGCGCGAAAGTCGCACGGGCAGAGGGGAGACCGAGGCCTCCGCCCAGCAGCGAAAAAATGGCCAATCCGATCACCGACTACTCTGGCGATCCCATCACTCTCGACGACAACCTCGGCCTGCGCCCTCGCGCCCGCGCCGTCTCCGGCCTGCGCCCCTGCGCCCGCGCCATCTTCGGCTCAGCGCCGCCCATCATCCAGCTCGCCCTCTCCATCGCCACCTCCATCTTTGTCGTCACCGTCGACTTTGTCCACTACTTTCTCACTGCCGCCCGCCGGCTCGTTGTGTGCGCTCGCGAGCGGTTCACCGCCGCTTGCGCTCTCTCTGCGGCTCCGAGTCTTGGCGCGAGCCACGCAGGCTCCGAAGTCTACTGCGTTTTCACCATCCTGCTCACCGTCATCCTCGCCGTCGCTGTTTCTGGACCAACACCAGTGCCAGTCCCCTCAGAGCCGCTTCCAGACATGATCTCCATCAACGGCGCCTGCCATTTTGCGCTCACCAGCTCCTCTGCATCGGCACAGCCTCCAGGACGGCCGCCAGGCGCTCCCGGAAGGCAGACCGATGGATGGTTTACAACCGTCCTCACAGGTCCGTCCATCAACAACATCATCGCCGGCGCCGAGACACGGCGCAGCTCAACTTCAACTTCAGATCACCCAGGCCACCCTGCCCCAGTCCCAAGCGAGGGTGCCGACGATGCGGACCATCTCGTGTTGGGGGGGTTGCTTCGATCGAGTCTACCGGTCGCCGCCCAGCTCCGTTGCTGTCAGTTGCCCCTTGCCTCCTTCACTACTGCCATCGGCTGCGGGCCGACGCCGACGCCTCCTGTCGGACCTCTCCTCCGGGGCGCCGACCGTGGGGGGGCCCGGGGGAAGAAGGGGGCGCAGCCCCCGACCTGGCTGCCAAGGCGCCAGCCGAGGCTGTCACACAAGAGGCCGAGGCGACAGCCGAGGCCACTACCCAAGGTGGAGCCGAGGCGACAGCCCCCGACCTGGCTGCCAAGGCGCCAGCCGAGGCTGTGTGTCACACAAGAGGCCGAGGCGACAGCCGAGGCCACTACCCAAGGTGGAGCCGAGGCGACAGCCGAGGCCGCCGCCCACAAGGCCAACCAACCAGCTAAGGCCTCTGCCCAAACGGAGGCCGAGGCGCCAGTCACAGCCGCCCAAACCAAGGCGCCAGCCGCCGCCGCCACGCGCAAGCCCTGGTGGAACCTTTTTAGAACTTGCAACATCAGCGCCGTCGCCGTCGCTACCGTCGAGCAAGGCATCGCCTCCATCAAGTGCGATGACTCGGCTCGCACGGCCGGCGCTCATCCGGCCGGCGCGCGAGACGCCTGCGCCGCCCTCGACTACGACCGGACGCGCCCTGCCGCAGCCTCCGCCGTAGCCGAGCGATCGGCCAGCGCCTCTGCCGCCAGCGCCATCGCCGTCGGCCGTACCGTCGAGCGAGGCATCGCCTCCGTCAAGACCTTCGTCTTCGAGCGTGATGCCGCGCCTCGCACGGCTGGCGCCCTTCGGGCCAGCGCGCGAGACGCCTCCGCCGGCCTCGACTGCGAGCGGACGAGCTCTGCCGCCTCCGCCGTAGCCGAGCGATCGGCCAGCGCCTCTGCCGCCAGCGCCGTCGCCGTCGGCCGTACCGTCGAGCAAGGCGTCGCCACCGTCAAGTGCGCTGCCTCGCCTCGCACGGCCGGCGCTCTTCTGGCCAGCGCGCGAGATGCCTGCGCCGCCCTCGACTACGACCGGACGCGCCCTGCCGCCGCCTCCACCGTAGCCGAGCTCTCCGCCAGCGCCTCCGCCACCAGCGCCGTCGCCGCCGCCGTCACCGTCGAGTACTCGAGTCTCGCTTCCGTCATCGAGAGTGACAACTCACATCGCACAGCCAGTGCCTCACGCTTCAGCTTTCATAGCTTTACCTCCGGCTCCGCGCCGCGCCGCGCCTCCGTCAAGGGCGACCTCGGCCTGCGCCCTCGCGCCCGCGCCGTCTCCGGCCTGCGCCCCTGCGCCCGCGCCTTCTCCGGCTCCGCGCCGCGCCTCGCCTCCGTCAAGGGCGACTCTCGGATGTCAACTACTCCCTCCTCGTGCCGCCTTCGGCCTTGCCCGCACAGGCGTCGCGATCTACGGTACATCCCCGACGCCTTCAGCATCGGTCCTGGGGGAGGCGTCTGAATTCGGACGCCTGTGCTACCCTTCACACACGCTACACACGGTGTACTAGCACGGCGCATCCTGCGCCGTGCCCCATGAGTGTCGATACTCCAGCATCACACCCTCTGTGCCACAATCGTGTCACGTGGACGTCCCTTGGACAGCGCGACCGGAGAACCAGTGTTTTGATCCTTTACAGACCTACATAGAGCCAGCCACCCTCCGGCTCTGAGCCTCCGCGCTCAAACGAGATGGATAGTGCCCGAGAGCGAGGGGTCCGGGGGGAGCACAAACATAGGACGCCCAGCCTTGCCCTCGTGCCGCCGAGTGCATATCCTATGCGAGAGAGATCCCCTGTGCCCTGTGCCTAGCCCTCTCCGCGCGGCGATGCGCCCTCCCCCCTCGCTTTTGCAAAATCCTGCAAAGGTGGGGACGTGTCTGTCCTCGACCCAGCCAGCTTGGGATGTCCGTTGTATTTATTAATTTATACAGTGAGCGCGGCAGTGATGACTGCAAAACAACAACAACAACACGCCGCCTGGGCGGACGCGATGCGCGCCCCGGCCAACGCGCCGGTCGTGCACGGCGACAAGGAGAAACCAGAGCTCACCCGGCAGTACAACGAGGGGTACAAGACTGACCTCGCAGAACCCCATGCGGGACCAGGAGGGTGCGATGACATGAATGAAATCAAGCTCTGGACGCCCCTCCTCAAGACCTCCTCGCCGGGCGTTGGCAACGCCTCGAGTGGCGGCACGCCCGCCTCCGTTGGCCACTCCTACGCCTTTGGTAACACCGAAGAGAAGGCCCGCCGCCTAAACATGGGCTGCAAGGCGCGCGGGCAGCCCGGCCAACCCTTCTCCCACAAGACCGGCCACGGCTACGTCAAGGCGCATCGCGGTTTCTACCACGACGCGATCTTTGTCAAGCGCAACAACTTCAACCTGCTGCTCCACGAGACGTTCGGCGGCGGCTTCTCGCCCACCGCCGTTCTCAAGCTGCGCCGCCTCGCGCGCAAAGTCGCGCGCGGCAGCGTCGACCGCACGGCCTACTCGCCCAAGTACTCGCTCTCTTTTATGTCCCACCATGCAGAGCGCATCTCTCTCTCTGTTGTGCGAGGCGTGAACCGCGCCATTCGCTCTCACCTGGCAACCCTGTCTGCACGTCTCGCGCGCGCGTGAACAGGGCTCCAGGCCCCAAATGACGTGTGAGTGTTAGATTTGTTTGGTATTGCTAAAAATCTCACACCTGACTGCATCCTCCGAAGATTCGTTCACCGGTTTCTCCGACTGCGCTGAGTGGGAGGGCCCCCAAGGGCCTAGAAAGCGCGCCTCCGTCTCCGTTTTCTCCAATTCGTTTGTACAACTACTCTGAAAGGAAGAAAACCCGCCCCCCCTTCCTTCGCAAGTGCGCAAAATTGGTAAAAAAAGAAATTGGTACCGCTGCGTCGGCGCCGCCGCATATACACACACACACATGCATATGCAGCTGGAAACGGCCTGCCGCGCGCGCGTGGATGGCCTGACGTCGCGCACGGCTCTCAACGGCGCGGAGGTGGAGCTGCTCAGCTTCCACGAGGCGTCTGGACGGTGGTGCGTTCGCGACGTGCAAAGCGGCGAGGCAGTCCGTATCAAGCCCGGCAACCTCACGCGCATTGCGATGCCGACCCAGCTCGATTCGTTGGGCGATGATGAGCTCGCCGCAGTCTTGTCGCAGGTTCCTTTCCGCGACCCGCAGGCCCTCATCCCGCCCGGCTTTTACTGGCGGCCGCCGGCGCACACGACGCTGCGCCTCGTCTGCAGTCGCTTCAAGGCGGTGCTTGACTCGCGCGCCTGCCACGCCGCTCGTGCGGCTGCACCGGTGGGACGAGTCACGCTCGCAGAAGCCAGCAACCACGTGCAGACGTGCGTGCGGCTCGGCGCTACGATTATCGTGCGCGGGGCGATCGCACAGCTGAAGACCGTCAACAGCGCCGGCACCTCCGTGGGATGCTGCCACGACTCGACGGGGTGCATGACGCTTGTCTTCCCTCCACACGCCACACGGCAGCTCCGCAGCGTTCGCCCGCTGACCTCGCCATGGGCCCCGTGCGACCGGGCGTGCTGCACCTTTGAAGAGTACCAGCAGATCGATTGGTTTTCTGAGGTTGGCGGGGGGGCATCTGCCCTGTTCGACGGCGGGGGGGCGTTTGCCATTGACGAGTTTACTACGCTGGTCATGCGCTGCCGCTTCGCGCGCTGTGACCCGAGTCTCTACAGCGCTTTGCCCCGGCGGCGCGTGCAGCACCCATGCCCGTACGACCTCGTGTGTGTCGCAATTGAGATCCCTGGCGGCGCAATGGACGAGCCGGCTGTCGACTGGAAGCACGAGGGCAAGGCGCTGCTCCGGGACATTGACACGATGCTTCGGTGCGAGCAGTCGGCGCTGGTTGACGCCTGGAAGCCGATCCCCTTGCCCGGCTGGCGCGAGCTCGTGGCAGAGACAGAGTCTCACTTCCCACCCCACAACCCGGACGCGATCTTTGCGGAGCAGATATTTAGCGACTTCGGAGCCGGCGACATGGACGACGAGAACCACACGCGGGTCTACTGGACGGAGGGAACCTGGGTCTGCCGGGCAAGGGACGAACACGGAAGGTGGCGCTACTTTTTCGAAGACGACGATTGAGGCGTGTAGGGAGTAGGCCGACATGTCCTCGGGCATCCAGAGGAGCTGGACATCAATCAAGTAAGTAGCTCTGGCAGTACTGTAGGGTCTAGGGAACGATGCCTGAATGCCTGCACTGACCACTGTGCGACGCCCTGCTGGCCGCCATGGAGCGCTCTCTCCCCGGACACTCCCATCACGTTTCTCAGATCTCTGCTCACCGTCTATACCAGTCCGCTATACGAGCGGCGCGCGACGTGGTCAATCGCCAAAGGGAGGAAAAACAACAGAGACAAAATACAAGGTACATGCACGCCCCATTACTACCTTCGAGAGGTGGGGCACCCTCGCTAGCAACCCCGCCCGGCACCCACGTGCTCGGGAGGAGTCCGACCCCGCCCCTGCCCTCGCACCCGCCGACAGCCCGAAGCGGCCCCGTATGCCGTGGGCGCGCCGGCGTGAATAGCTGCGCCGCGTCACTGGTCCGCCTTGACCTTGCTGCTGGTTTTGCCGCCCACAAAGCCGAGCACCTGCGGCGAGAGGCGAGGGGTGGGCGAGGGTGTGGTGCGAGCAGCCTGCGGGACGCGGGCAGCCGCGGGGCCGAGCGCGCCTTGTTGAAGGTGTCCATGTCGAGCTCGTCCACGTCCACCTCAACCTCCTTGTGCCCGCACTGCTGCACCGCCGCCTGGCACCCCTTCTGCACCATCTGCACCATCTGGTTCAGGTCCGCCAGCGACAGCTTGGTGCAGAGGTCATACAGCTTCTTTTTCTGCGCAAACGTCGGCCAGCCGGGCCGGTCGGGCATGGGCCTGCCCGGGTCGATCGCCGCCGCCTGCGTGATGAGCGTATATCGGCGGTCGAAGGAGGAGGCGAGGATGCCGGCGACGACGCCGAACATGGACTGGGCAGAGTTGTACGTGATCGCGTTCTGAAACACGAGCCGCGTGTCGTGCGCAAAGTCCTCGGGCGAGAGGTACTGCGCGCGCTGCAGCTTCCTCCCGATGGTGGAGAGGTCCATCGGCTGCGTGATGACCTACAGGCGCACCGCACTGCGGTACGCTCTCCGAAGCACGCCGACCTCGCGCCGCCACCGCCGCCGCCGCCGCGCCTGAGTGTAGTCGGTGAGGCCAAGAGCGACGTGATCGACCTGCT